TCCAATTATGCCTCCAGCCCAAAATCCACATCAAACAGTGACATATTGTGGATGTATTTGTTTTTCGACAATCACATGTAGGTTCTCAAAACCCCAAAATCGGCAATTTTAGCGATTAACAAACCCATCAACGTGAAAATGTGCTTCATCGCAAACACTCTTCGCTGTGCATGGTCATTAAGCTTCAGTTGTTGTGTTAACTGAATTTTATGAGCATGGAGACACAGAGTTTTAGTGAGTATACGTTGTAAAGTGCATCACTTTCAATTTTTGTCCACGACGCCTAATTGAGGTTGCTGGATTGTCAGTTGTTGACTTTCACGCACTGCTTCGATATTGTCATTTGAATGACTTGTGGTCGGATTACCAGTGTGTAGGGCGTCTCCAACGGATCTTGTTTCCCGGGAATTTTTCAATTAAGTTGACAAAGTTAAAACACTATTCCAACCATATTTTGTATGAAATATTCGAACTTCGGCCACCAAGCTTTTATTATTTTTGAAATATTGTTTAATAATGAAGAAACATTGTTCTATCGTGTAACGCTCCACTTTTATTAAGCTTAAATTGTCAGCTGTCGATTTGCTTTTTTTTTAGGGTGGTCAACACTTTACTAAATAGATGGCGGCAAATTTAAATCTTGCGTTAATGCATAAGTAAAAACAATATATATTTTTGAAACGTAAGTTGTTATATATATTCTCTTGTAAGTTACAGATTTATTGGAAACTTAACACTTTTACAGCCATATTTTGACTTGGTCAACGAATTAAGAACGTTTCATGCTTTTGGTTGATATAATTAGTTCGGTAATACTAAAAAATTAAAAAATTGTTCAAAAGAATATCGGATTTGAAGGGTTATCCACTTTGCATATTCTCAACAGACTATTAACTAAACGCTAATATCGCTCAGTTGATATGCTCGACATTTTTGCACAATTCATCAACATTTTGTTTTCTTTCCCAAACCCCTTTCAACATCTTTTGATTAGGGTTAAAGTCTGAAACCTGGACAATACAATCCTGCATTGAAATGTATGGTTCCATTTTTAAGTTGACGGCTGATCGTTAGTGTTGGAATTTAGTTAGCCGCTTGAGTAGATATTTTGCCAAGAATTTGACCGAAAGTTAAAAAGGGATTCGCTTTCCAAGTTACACGATCGTCTTCTGAAGTGGTTTTTCTCGTTTTTCTTAATCTCCCATAATGACTTATTGTCTACCATTGATTTTGAACACAAAAACTCTATCGCTATAGCTCGTAATGCCATTTTTTCCTTAATGTTGAATATTTTTTTAATATAAAAATCATTTACACAACTATCTTAGCTATAATCCTCTAATTTTTTTTCTTTTCATACATTTTTAAGAAGTTCCATATAATAAATTTTAAAAAGATTTTTGAATAGTTAATCTGTGCATTTAATGACGTTGAATTGAATCTGGACTTCCCTAAAATTTTCTTGAGGAACCAAAGGTGGTCTTGTGGTCTCACTGATGCATAGCGAGTAACAAGAAGCTGTTCTTCTATATATGTCGTGAAGGTTGTTAAACTCAATAAGTTGTTTTCAACTGAGTACAACACTGAAGGTTCTACCAATAGTGAATCAATCTTTAAAATTCATTAGATTCGCTTAGAATCGCTAATATGTTATTTAATTGCCTTGTGACAGTCATTTATTTACATCGGTAGCAATTAATGTGGCATGCGGCTTCTACAATAATTACTACATTGGAAATTTTTGTGACCGACTCAGCAAGCAATTAGATAACCTTTCAGAATTAAAACATTTCTTGGCATTTTAAATTTTATTACAAAAACAACTGAAACTATTCTGAAAATTCATATACTCATAGTATAATTGCATGAACTTTAAAAACAACTTTCAACATAAAATTTTAAACATATTAGAAGAAAACGTGTTTAAACAATAAATGCAGCCCATTTAGAATTATAACAGCTATTAGCCATTTTTTTACGCTATTTTTAAAGCAATCAGCCATTTGTCACTCAGTACTGGATATGATCAACATGATTACATCAGCATATTAAAAAAAACACAGCTCATACACTGACACTGCAATGTAGGTTTAATATATCTATAAATATTTTATTTGGAAAGTGACTCACATACCCGCTTTCGATTGTTTTCATTGTTTATATGAATATCTGTAACTATGTAACCACCTAAGTAAGTGGTAGTTCATACTATTTTGTAATAAGTAAGTCCTTAAATTTACAAATCATATTCAAAAGAGCAAATCGACTCAAACGTTTTTTAACAAAATCAAATTTAATGTGTGACAATTTCAGTACAATAGCAACAATTTTGTAAAGACGTAAAACATAAACATGAATACCTTAGTTTAGCGCCTTTATTATCATTAACTGAATATATTTTCTGGTCACGTTCAGTGCTCGCACTCTGCCAATTTATAGCGTCTAGACGTACTTATCAGACGCCACTTTTTAACATATTAGTTACAGTGTAAATCTATATGATATACAATTACGACACTCAATCAAGAAACAGAGTGGGTCTTATGTACATATTTTGCGGAGTCTCTTATTGGGTTACAATTATAACATGTTCCCATACTTGGAAAATCTTTGCGCGAATAACAAACACAAACTTATTTTTTTCCTAAAGCTCTTATAGTTTTCCCCTCTGAAATGAAAAAACTTTTTAAGCATTTTACTGTTTCAATTGCTTTCTGTTTTTTTTTTTCTTTGGTTTTTAATTTACTTATAATAATTCTAATATTTTATTCTTAATATACCATAATAAATATTGCAACGCAGGATACTCTTGACTGCTTTGTTGCTTGATTTGCATAGTGGAAAGTGAAAGAATCACAATCATTTAAATGGTGTTATATGGGAAATAGGTGTAGTTGTGATCCGATTTCGCCCATTTTCACACTATAACATAGATATGTGAAAAAAATGTTATGTACTGAATTTGGTTAAAATCGGTAAGTAGATCCCAAGATATAGGTTTCCACCAAAAGGTGGACGGTTTCTATAAAATCATCTCACACCATCCCATATAGATAAAATTTAATGTCTCTGCCGTGTTTAGTGCTTGAGTTTAGTTGTCCCCCGATTTCACCCATTTTCACACTGTCGATAGAGGTGCTAAAAACATTTGTTCTCATTGAATTTTGTTATTATAGATTTAGCGGTTTAGGTATGCTCATTAAACTTATTAGGGGACGGGACCACGCCCACTTTTTAAAAATGTGCTAAACTGCAGATTCCCCTCCTTGATCGTGTATACTAAATAACAGTCTTGTATCTTATTGTGGAGCTTAGTTATGGCAATTTATTTGTTTTATATTAATGGCGTTTTGGGGGCGTGGCAGTGGTCCGATTACGTCCACCTGCAATACCAACCGTCGTACGGTACCAAGAAACATGTTTACCAAGTTTCATAAAGATATCTCAATTTTTACTCAAGTTACATACTTCACAGACGGACGGACATACACTCACCCGTGTTTCAACTCGTTTCTTCATCCTGATCATTTATATATATAACCCTATATCTAACTTGATTACTTTTAGGTGATACAAACAACCGTTAGGTGAACAAAACTATTATACTCTGTAGCAACATGTTGCGAAAGTATAAAAAGTTATGCGTCATATACGGTCGTTTGAAACGGTAGGTTTTCGGTTGAACCCAAAGATTCTGTAGACGCTTCAGACTGAGAACATACAAAAGTCTTACGAATACATTTTAGAATAGCTTAAATAGGCATACTTGAAATTGTGAGTTGGTTTCCTCAAACATACCCTTCCCGTCTTTTCTTCCCTTAAACACTCCTAAAAAAGCCCTATCATACAATCAACGGGAGTTATTTCTAGAAAACGTGAAAACAAGTTAATTTTTGCATATGCTGCGCTCATACGCTACGGCAGATTAAAGACACCAATTTGCGAAAACGCCTTTGGCAATAAAGTGCGATTTTTAATAAAACCAAATAATTTTAAACCTCAATTAATACCGCAGATACCAACCCAAACTCAAATGGGCAGGTAGTGGCAACTAAAGTATTGCAACAACAGTGCTATTAGACTTGCAACAGGCAACAAAGAAAGAAGTAGCAGCACCACCAGCTGCCACTTGCAATGAAATTGCATTGCTTTGAATATTTTGTGGCAATTTTTTTTTCACCAACGCGTCTCTTGCCACGTTGACCGCCAACTCAAGAGCTCCATCTAATGCTTATGCGCGTGCATGTCCGTGCAGCAGCAACGGGGTAAGCAGAAAAAGCAAAATCTTCCGTCGTTGCAAATTAATTTTCCTGCTGGCCAAAACGAATTAATCACCTAAATGCGGCGGCCGCCTGATGTCGCTTTCGTTGGTGATGCTGTTGCTTGTTCACTTGGCCTGCGAAGCACTTGCCGAGTTGTTGCGGCTGCTGCTTGCCACTGTTGGCATGCTAATGTTGCTACTACCGCATGGCTATCTGCTACCTGTTGCCATACTGCCCTCAAGGCATTAAATTCATAGTTGAACCATGTGGCAAGCGGTAGTGCGACGCCAGGACATGTGCGAGCGGTAATCGACAGTAAATCGACTAACGAGTTTTGCTGTCTTTCCATTTTTTGTTGCAGTTGTGATTGTTGCTTACCTCCTACAAAAGTTCACCATGATTTTCCATTTCCGCCGAAGAATGAAGCAAGTGGCCGCCGTGATCTGTGATGTGTCTGAGTTTTGTTTTTAATTGTAGCACCTTCGAGAATTTCAAAGTCAACAAGCAATCAAAAATGTGTGGGAAGTTACGATAAATCGGAAAGAACTAAAATTATTATCTAGATCTAGATGTGAGTATAGGCCTAGTCATCTTTTAGCTTTGATTTGTGCTAAAATTGATCTGACTGGTTGACTTAAGTTTCATATGCTGGTATTATATAAATGCAGGTTTAAATTTTTAAATTTTTATGAAAATAGTTTTCACCAATTTAACGCTTCTGTACTGCTTTCTTTACAGTTAGACCGACAAACCTTTCGTTCTTGCATCTTCAATGGCCATTTCTTGCCATGTCCAGGGCTCGTGAGTTGGCCTTACTTGAAAAATGGACTGATGCTGCTGCCGCAACTGCCACCAATACATTCCCACCCCTCGCCTCACCCACCTCGCCGAAGGCAACGAAATTCTGCTGTTGCCCGAATCGGCGCCGCTATAACTTGAAACAGCCAAAGGCGAAATCCACCTTAGATGCTCGGAATATTTTTTTGGATAATGATTTTACGTACATTGATGATGTCGATAGGCAAGACGATAGCAACAACCACATCAGCATCAAAGGTAACAACGACCGAAACTACAGTAGTATGCGACGTAGTGAAGCGCGAATCGATAGCACCGACAACTTCGCAGACAGCGTAGCATTAGTCAGCCTTAAAGGATTAGACGGACATCAGCGTGAAACTGACAAGTGGCTGCTATTGCAAAAACAAAGCAGAGAGGAGTGTGCTGCCACAATCGTCGGTAATAAATTTGCGGACGATTACGATGATATCTGTGATGTTGTCAACAATGCCGGAAATTGTAGATCGCGCATAATGAATACAGCGCCACAATTGCCAACAATACAGCAAAAGCAGCAACAACCCAAAAGTGTAGAGTTAGCAACGCAATGCCACAAAGCGGAACATTTGCAAGAAAGGCGACATGACAAAAGCTCTCATAATAATAGCAACAGCAACACAAGCGCTAACGATAAGAGCAACAGTTACAATAACAACATCTGCGATTGTGAAAATGACAAGAGCGATGGTCATAACAGTAACAACGCTCTGATTGGGAACGAGTATCATCCGAAAGTGGCAGGCGGCACCAGCACAGCAACAGAAGTTGCAACAACAGGAAAAATTGTTGGCGACAATTGTGCGGGCGCATGTAAAAGTGATGAAAGTGTTGTTTGTGAACAACAACAACAACAATACGAACAGCAACAGCTGGCTAGCGACTGGCTTGCCGACGACCATAAGAGCGATCAAAAAATAAGCCAAAGACTTAGCGATAGTGAACTTAAGCATAGCAATAGTAATTGTAAGGGACAACAAAAACAACACTGTGCAAGTGTTGACATTACAAGCGACAACGGTGACTTTAGTGAGCAACAAGCGCGCGTTAATTGCCAACTTGACTCATCTACAACGACGACCGCGCCCGATTCGAACCGATCGACTTCACAGCAAAAACAAAGCCAAAACAATAGTATCAACTATAGCAACGATAAAGCCAACAACAGCGAAAGCGACAGCAAAATTGATTTACAGAATAAAATGACAATAACCACAACGAATGCGGCGAGTCGCAAGCATTCGCGCGTCGAGTGTGGGTTGAGATCAAAAGCAACAACCCCAGTCACAAACGCATCGACAGCTACAACGAAAAACGGCATCACGACAGACAACGCTTCCACAACGACCACATCGGAAATTGTGCCCAGCGGTGCGAGAACAGCGACGAACATGACTGGCAACACTGCAACAACCGACATGCCAACAACAAGTCTAGCAGACGTTGCAGCGGTGCACTTTCGGAACACTGCCGCATCACCAACGCCATTGTCGCGCCCATCAACGCCCTCTCTAACAACTGTGATCAAAACAACGCTGGTGAAGCGAACGCCTTCGACGGAATCGTCGAAAACTCCATCGCCAGTCACCACACCAACAACTATAACAAAGTCTATTGTCACCGCGACAGTGTCGGCACGAGCTTACAATAGTGTGGGCAATGCTCGAACGGGAGGAGAAGTAGTTCCTGGCAGTCCGCAGGAAACGTCGTCGGCGGCGAGACCGCGCACATCCGTAAAACAACGCATTGCTGCCTTTGCCGCTGGGAATGGTGAGTATTAGTGTGGTACAGAAATGTTAATGGGGAAGGGGTAACGATTTGAGCAAAATAATTTAATAATCCTGAAACGTTGACGGAGGCAAACTTATACCCCAATTATTTAAGGCGACTATTGTATAGTTGTTGGTAGTTGTTTAAAGAACGCAGAAAAGTTTTAGTTTGAGTATATTATTCAAAGGGGAACTTTTTAACTTTGTGGGCTACTCCGCAAGCGTTAACAAAAACTCGTTTTCGAAATATACACTTATTTAGCTTACGGATATAACTTATAAAGACTAAGGACCGCTACATTAAGGTAATACCTACATAAGATTAGCCTAAACTTAGGTGACCTTATTTGTTCCCGCAAAATCCGGGTTAGTCATTGATTTTTTCCATATTATAAATCAATGAAAATCGCGATATATAATAGGTGAGAAATTTATTCAATTCATTATTATTATTTTTTTTTTAATTTCTAAGCAAGGGACGCAAACCGGGACGAATGGTCAGCTAAGCGTAACCCTTATGGGAATACATTGTTATTGAGACTTCCGACTAGAAATTATTCAGTTATGACTTAGCTTACTGCTTCTGCTAATTGACAGCATTCTATTGCAAGTATGAAACTTTCAAATACCTTTAAAATAATTGTGCACTCTACTACAGAAACAATTTATTATTTCGTAAAGTATTCACCGAGTTACTTTGAAATTTGAACACGAACCGAACGTGATATGACATAAGATTGCTTATAAATACGGAGAACAAAAAAGGTTGTTGAACAATTTACATAATTTGAGAATAATTCAAAAACAACAACAACATTAGTAAAAACAAGTCAAAAGGGCACGAATATGTTGGAACCGAAAATGAATGAAAAAATGCCACTGACCCAATGTGCTACTGAACGAATTACAGCGCTTAATAAGAGTTTGCTTCACGTTTTTGCTTTGTGTGTACAGGAGTGCACAACCGGAGGCAGTTGTCACATTGCTCTCGCGATACTAAGTGACTCATTCACCGAAGTGAACGAATATCAAAACAAACAGCGGATGAGTCACGCTAATGAGGCTCGTTTGCATGAATCTGAGCTTAGAAAAGACAAAAGCCAAAACCAAAAACCAAAAGGGGAATAATTGCCAACGATTATGCGACTTTGCAGTAATCAAGTCATTTGCAATCGAACAAACGCAAATAATATGGAAAAAGTACAAATTACTGGGTGTGTTGCTTCCGCGCTGCAATAAAATTAGCAATGGCTGCACTATGCATGTGTCTTGGTCTTAATTTTTCGTACTTTTTCGTATTCCCCACAGATATTTATCAAGTTTTATTTCACATTTTCCATTCAACAGAGATTGACACATTAGCTATTCACTGCGCGCTTCATACTTTGTGGCATGCCACATCCTTGGTAATTCTACATTCAACTTATTTATGCAAAAAACAACAACTCATGCAAACTCCACGCTTTTTTGCGGTCTGTAGGTGTATCTCGGGCGGAGCATATGGAAATTGTTGTAGAACTAAGTACGCACAATATATGTGTAATTGTTATTGTTGTTCCTTACTGGGTGCAGTCATATGCACTTTTGCGCGCATAATATTTGTTTGTATACGCATTGCAGTACGCTTATTCACCTTTAATAGCTGTACAGCTTTTGTAAGGGTCCCGCACAATAATAAATAATAGAAACGACAACTTTAAGCAAAATGAGAATAATGTGGAAACATTATATCAAAACGTTTATATATATATGTATTTCCTTTTACTATATTAATGGCCATAAAAGCATTTTTATACTCTTGCAACATCTTGTTGGGGAACATAGCAGTTTTGTTCAACTAACGGTTGTTTGTAACACCTAAACCTAATCGAAATTGATATAGGGTTATATATACATATATAAATGATCAGGATGAAGAGACGTCTATGTCTATAACCTGAGCAAAAATTAAAATATATTGATGAAACTTAATACACATGTTTCTTGGCATCATAAGAAAGTTGGTATTGCAGATGGGCGTAACTGGACCATTGCCAGCCCTCAGATATAAGGCTGTTGTTTGGTTTTAATTTTAAAAAATTGGTCGTGACTCCGCCCTCTTATAGGGTTAATGTGCATATCTCCTAAACCACTAAAGTATATAATACCCACACTCTCTCACAACAAATCCTTTTAGCACCTGACAGTGTGAAAATAGGTGAAATCGGATGACAACCCTGCCCACTCCCCATATAACGGATTTGTTAAAAAATACTAAAAGTGCAATAACTCTATAAATAAATGCGTCAGAGTCATACAATTTTACACCTGAGATTCTAGAAGAAGGCTGTATAGGCGCCGCTGCCAAAATTGGATGTCGAACGTGGCACCGCCCACATTTGAAAACCCATATTTCTAAACCTGATTGACCGATTTCAACAAAATTCGGCAAGTAATATTGTACCGATTTCTATGTTACAGTATGAAAATGGGCCCTACTACTTGCCGTAGCCTCCATATAACTAATATCAAAATGTTCAAACCTCTAGTTGACTTTACCCCTTATATATTGTCGATTGTATGTGAGATTGTATGTTGATTGTAATCCATTCATGATTCGTCGATTTTTTTCGCAACATTTAATATAAAGTTTTCCCAACACCTGAAGGTATTTAGCTGGCTTTGATTCTTGCAAGTTGCAAGAGTATTTTATACTTCAGTTACGTCCGAACTTAGCCCTTCCTTACTTGTTATTTTGAAATTTCATCAGGTTTTGAAACAATTCCGAAATTGAAATAATGCCGTGTTGAAGCATTATTTTATGACTGGTTTGCGATTTATGAGAATACACAGAATTGTGAAAAAAACACAAAAAAGCATAGTTTCAGCAATAGAGAAAGCAAATAATTTTTGAGCAGAACACTGAAATTGTTTACTAAGAGAAAATGCTACTAACTCTCTCTTTATTCATGTCATCTGCCAGATTTCCATCTGGTACATTTAAATTAAGATACCTTTATTTAGGTAGCTTAGTATTGCATAATAGGTATTAATTTTAGGATTCTTGGGATATAGCTGAATCTAACACATCCCATATTAAACCATATATGTAAATGAGATAAATCAGACGGCTGACTTCCCCATCCTATAATATCACTGAAAAATATTGAGAAGGCATCTGTAAATACTAAAGTTAAGAATATTGTGTATGTTTTGGATCAACCAAAAATATCGATGTACTCATACTGATATAACTGACATCAAGGATATTTCACTATAATAACTTCTCCTTAGCGTTGCTTACGAAACAAGCTAGTATTATTGGTGATAGGCAAATGAGGCTTCAAAGAAGTGCAATTCACACAAACAATAGGTTCAGGAAAATGGCATAAAGACCGCCTGCAATCGAGATTGGCACGCTAAGTCTATATTTTTAAGTCAGCAAACGACACTACGCACAATGCCTTCCCAGCTTAGCGCACATGAGTCTATCAGTAGGCTATATTGGTATAGACATCATAACCTTTACAGACGCAACGCCACGGACACTAACAAATTGTTTGCTTTATAGTTTTCATTGCTTCCAGCAAATATTATATTTGGCGTGAAATACGGGCTAAGTAATATTTTCTCGTCTATACTTGTAGTATGCTGCTCATGTAACATATTTGTGTCGGCACGTATCCGCCTGAGTGCTGCTGTCTGTGGCACTGTGGCGGACTGGTCAATTTTTCAAGGAATCGTAGTATAGACGTAGAAAGCGACATAATCGAGCTTAGCGTTGATATTAAGTTGGGTTGCCGTAAATGCTGGAGCTAACGGCGGCTATTACGGTCATGCTACTCCGGAGCATAGGCTATGATGACGCTAGCTCAGCACTGCAACGAAACGTGAGCAATGCGCGCAAGAGTATACGGATGGTAGCCAACATTGGACACCCTATGAACTCACATCGATAATGCTGCCCTCTGCTGGTTTGCAGCTCTATTTTCATTTAGTCTCAGCTTTTGACGCAGCCGCTTTGCATGCCTTAAATTTCCGTGGACAGACTTAGTTGTGCCCGCATATATCGGCTACATTCCCTTTTTCTCTCGTTACGCCGGCGTTGATTGTTTGTGGTCGTTGTCTCGTTAGACACTGCGTCGTATTATGTACTTAGTGGTAAGTACTCTGGACTGGAGTTTAACGCAATCTGAAACCTGCGACAAGCATTCAACAGTCATCTATATTCCTTCCCTACCACACTCACCTGCTGTCTTGTCCTTCTTTGATTTACTTTATTCCCTATTTACACACAACCCGCCAGCCAGCTCCCTTTGGCCAAACGCACTTCATATTCTTTGCGACAAGCAGCTTTGCATGGTGTGTTTTTCCTTGTCCTAATCATAGATGTCAGCCATCGAATTTCAGAGGCGATCGAAAATTAATCTTAACCTAATCTTAATAACAGCATAGTCTTGTCTTTCACTTAAAGGTTTTAGCAGATTTTCAACGCGTCTATGGCGATAATGACAAGAAAAGTATTGTAGTTTTTATTATTATTCCTGATTTCACTATTGTTATTGTCGCCATATGCCTGTTTGTATCATTATTTTTTTTGTTTTTTTACTTATATCGCTGTTAAAACTTGCTCCTTCAATGAGCCATTAGTGCTTTCCGCCGTTGGCAATGTGCTCCGCTTTGGCGCAGCATGTTCAGCCGCGTGCTTGTTCGACTGCGAGCCACTTAGCTGTGTTATGATAGTCCTCAATTAGTGTTTTAAGATGAATTGCCTTTAATGCTCGATATAAGTCGAGATAGTGCCAGTGCGGCAGCCTTCCTAGCTGTGTACCTTACAAGTATATAATTCACCGACTCCTTCCATACAATCGCCTTTGTGCGCTTATCTATGCGCTTCGTTGATTGTGGCACTTTCTTTAGTGTACTACATTTACTTGAATCTTGGCGGTGTTTGCGGTAAGTAAGTGTGAAAGTTTCGGAATTATTACACCACCGCCTTCATCACCACGTTTATCTACCCAA